GAAATATTTAGTATCAAACAATCAGAAGCGTGCCCATTCCCAACATCCTTTCCTAGTCAGTGGCTTTGATTGAAGCAGAGCAGTTTGATGTATGTTAGGAGGATGATTGTGGTGATGGTCTGGAAGAGCATTGCTTTGATGGGCCTGCAGATCCCCAGTCACCTCCAGCCACCCTAAAATAAGGCAATAAGAGAGCAGCCTGCAGTGGCTGGCATGTGACCATCATTTTGGATGGTCTCTCCAGGCCTCTCAGAGGTGCAACTGGGCAAGAGTTGTCAGGGTGACAGGTGTCGTGCAGTCCTCGGGCGGCTGCCTGGCAGGCGCTTATCCTCTTAGCCATCCTGCAGGGATCCAGCACTAATTCACCCTTAAACACAGGATTGTCAGAAATTGGAAATGAAAGAGTAGGCAGATTATCCCCCGGTGGCTGCTTTAACCACGGGGAGAAGGCAGCTGCCTGGAGAGGCGAGCCGAGAGGGTGCTTCACCCCACTGGGTTGATGCCAAAGGGACCCTGGCCCATCCTAGGGCTCAGCAGCAGTCCCCCAGCAAAGGCTGCCTGGGCTGGGGCATGGCAGCTGGGTTTCCTGTGACCATGCCCATGAAGGGGTGGCCGATACATGGCAGCTGGTACGTGCATGCAGCCCATCACCACTTCTGCCTGTGCTATATTTTGTCCTTCCCAGCCAGCAGCTGTGAGTCACCTCCCCAAAGCCAGCTTCAGGCTTGCTAATGAAATAAATAGCAGGTTATGCCACGCTTGTATTAACTAAAAGTGCCGGAACCACTGGCTCTATCACTGAAAAGCCTTAAAACCAACAGATGTTAGGCTGACATCTGCCAGGAGTGACATTGGCCCAGCTGATCCCAGCACGGGGCAGGCAACGCACCCCCAAAGCCTACCCCAGCCCCACCTGTGGCCAGGAGAGCCCAAGTGTGCGTGTTAAGGTCTCTGCTTGTCCGGGTAGGCTGTCTTTACCTGTGGTGGGCACTGGGCCAGCAAGGATGGACACGGAGACTATGAGCACAGCTGGGAACGGGGCTGGGGGGGTTGTCGGTGCTGGGGTTGGCTGCAGGAGCTCTGTGCCCAACATTCCTCCCCTCTGAGGGGTGCCTGGGCTCAATATCTGATGCAGCCGGTTTCCCACCTCTTTCCAAAGGTGAAGAAGGCCACAATGCTGTGAGACAGCCCAGAAAGAGGGGAAAGCAGCCAGATAACCAGCCCCACTGGTTGAAACATGGCTCCTGAAGTAGGGGAGTAGGGGAGTGCCCCTATAAAACAGGGAAGGAGAGCTCAGGGAGCAGCAGTGACTGCTTGGCTTTTTGAATAGCAGGTGATTACTCTTCTTCCTGTAGATGTATCACAGCATAAAATTCCAGGGAGTATTTACCGACCTGGTATGGGCACTGAGCAGCCGGACCAATGTACAGAGAAAGAGAATTACATATTTAAGTGCATAATGGTAGCTGGCTGAGCTGGCTGAGCTACGGTTGCTGTATGGAACCGTATGGATTGTGTCTACCACAGCCATGATAAAATTCTACCAAGAGATCAGACCTAGAAGGAGGAGGTTTTGCAGTTTCTGCAATGAAATAAGAAATAATTTTCCTTGGCTCAATAAAGACAGCAAGAATTGGATTTCTCATTTGTACATAGAAGACGTTCAGATCACAGAATCACAGAATCACAGAATCGTTTAGGTTGGAAGGGACCTCTGGAGATCATCTCGTCCAACCTCCCTGCTCAAGCAGGGTCACCTAGAGCATATTGCCCAGGATCACATCCAGACGGCTTTTGAATATCTCCAGCGAAGGAGACTCCACCACCTCTCTGGGCAACCTGTTCCAATGCTCTGTCACCCTCACAGTGAAGAAGTTTTTTCTCAGGTTCAGATGGAACTTCCTGTGGTTCAGTTTCTGCCCATTGCCTCTTGTCCTGTTGCTGGGCACCACGGAGAAGAGGCTGGCCTCATCCTCTTGACACTCCCCCTTCAGATACTTGTACAAGATATAGGCTTCTAGGATAAAAACAAGACTGCTTGTAGGAGCTTTTGGACTCTTATGTGCAAAACTTTATGCTAAGAGATATGAAAAAAAATTCAGAAGAGAGGATGCTAGCCACAGTCAAAACAACAGAAGTGCAGCACAATGTATTTAGGGTCACCGATGCAGCTGACCTGAGTGCAGAAGCAGATTAAACAGCACTATCTTCTGAGATTTATCCTTAGCTAAAACACAGTTTTCTGTGTTGCCAACTATGTTAGTTCCTCCTTGAATCAAGCAAAAAGAAAATAAGGGCTTGATTGAAAGGGGAGAGGTTTCCTCTGGGAGCAAGTATGCCTCAGAGCACAAAGACTCCAAAATGGACTTCCTGGCACATTTGTCTCCTTGGCGCTAGCCCCAGGCTGGGAGAGTTACTGGGAAAAACCCACTGCAGGAGTATTTTTGGGATAGCCTTGAAGTCACACAGGGAGTCAAAGAAACTGTAGCAAGTTGCTTCTCACCACATGTAGCTGCTTTTCTCATCACTCCTTGTTTTCATAGAATCACAGAATGGTTGAGGTTGGAAGGGACCTCTGGAGATCATCTAGTCCAAGATCATCTAGGGTCCTCTAGAGCACATTGCCCAGGATCGCATCCAGGCGGGGTTTGGAATATCTCCAGCGAAGGAGACTCCAC